ACTCCTATGGCTACGAGACCTATCACTAAGCCTTCGTTGCCTTTCAAGGATATTTCTCATTTTCGGAGCATTGTTGGCGGTTTACATTACTTGGCTGTCACTCGTCCAGACATTCAGTATGCTGTTAATCGAGTGTCTCAGACTATGCACAACCCCACTGAGCAGGACTATCATGCCTTGCAACGCGTTCTGCGCTATCTCAAAGGCACTTTGAATCATGGTCTTCTTTTTCGCAAGGGGGGATTCGACCTATCTGTCTACTCTGACTCTGACTGGGCCAATGATAAAGATGATCGCAAGTCTACCACGGGCTACATACTCCTACTCGGTCCTAATATCATCTCTTGGTGCACGAAAAAGCAGACTCGTGTTTCTAGATCATCCACTGAAGCTGAATATCGAGCTATGGCTGCAGGGGTTGCAGAAGCTATGTGGCTTCGATATATCACTGATGCGCTGGGTATTCCTCCGTCCAAACCGAAGTTATACTGTGACAATGAGTCGACTATCTGTGTCACCAAAAATCCGGTTCTTCATGATCGCATGAAGCATGTGGGCACAGACTGTCACTTTGTACGAGATGAGGTTATGGCAGGCACTATGACTCCACATCAGCAGCTAGCAGACATTCTTACCAAACCGCTTCCGCCAGTTCTTTTTGAGTACTTATGTTCCAAGCTGCCCCTCGTCTCCGTTGATCAGCTTGCGGGGGGATATTAGGAAGTATAATTAAATTAGGATACTTCTTTCCTTTCCTACTTGTACTTTGATTACTCTTGTATTCCCTATATATAGGGCCATATCTCTCAATATTCAATAAGACACGTTATTATCAAATTGTATCAATTTTAATTTTATCCGCTTGATTTTAGATTGAATGCCTAAATAATATATTTTCTTTTTAAAAACCTATATAAATAAAAAAATGTTTTTCTAATTAAGGAATAACTAAAATGTTATTAAGTTGAAGTAAAAAATGTTTTTTTATATCTTATTTTAATTTTCATTTTTTGGGTTTTAATAATAAAATAATATTTTTTATTTTTTATTTTCATTTTTTACCAACGGGATAAATTAGAAGTAATACATTAATACTCCGTATGGTGCCTAAAAGGTTAAAATTCACCACTCCATATATGTTTTTCTACTTTTCTTATTTGTTTGAGTTAGATTTTATCGATTTTTTATGGTATTAGTTGTTTTTTCCATTTTTCATTTTTCCCGTAGTAAGACTAAAAATGATTAATCTTTTGAAAAATGATGGAAGTAGAAAGTTATTTTAAAAGGTTTAAGGGAAAATTAAAATGAAAATTAATAAAAAACTGTTTAACGGGGACCCAAAATCACACATTTTGGTCACGGTGATATTATTATGCATCACAGTGATATGTAATACTCCTTCTATCTCATAAAAATTGGGACGGTTTGACTAAAATGGTAAAATAAGAAGGGATAATTTTGTGTTGACTTTCCAAAAATACCCTTGATGTGATTGGTAAAAGTAGGATGTGATGGGTAGATTATTAGGAAAAAAGGTATGATGTGATAGATAAGGTATGAAAAAGTAAGATGTAAAAGTAGTTTTTCAATAGAAATGGGACGGACTTTAAAGGATGTAAATTTTTCGAAACGGGACTGACTCTATGGGACTGAGAGAGTATTATTTTTAAAAATCAAGTAAGGTTTGAATTATTCTTGACACTTTTTCTTTTTTATTTACGCCCTCATATTAAAATAATTACTACAATTTCTCGATAATTTTTATTTGTTTGTAGAGTGCTAGGTGTATTATTAATTGATAAGATAAAATATTTTATACAATCCAGAATCGTTTAAGCAAATGAACTTTGCGGGCAGGGAGTATGTGTCTATTATCTATCTCAAATTATTTGCCACATTTGTATTCCCGAGGCAAAATATCAAGTTTTTTCAATTCATTTTATTTACATATTGGTATAGAAATAAAAAATAAAATTTACATATAAAAAAACTACATGAAAAGTTCTTCGAAATAAGAGGTGTCAAGAATATTTTATTTTATCAAATAACCAATGAAAACGTCGAAATAAACAAAAGTTCCCGTGATTAGTGGCAAATGTTGTGAATGTGATACCAGAATAAGGTAGAAAGGTATGGGTAAACGTTGCCAAGAATAGAGAATGACGCATATGGGGTGGGGGCGCCTGGGGTGGGCTATTCGGACCGAGAATGACGCATATGGAGATGGAGAATGTGCAGAGCATTCATCAAATCTTATCCTGCAAGCAAATGGGATAATTATAATAGGTAAGCAAACAGCCATCAAGGCTTGTTTATTTATACTATATATATCCGCCAATTATTGATTCAATCTTGTTCGCCTCGTGTTTACCTTCTCAGCAGCGTATCCGCCAATTATTGCTCTTCTTGCTGTTTCGGTTTGAGATTTTACTGAATTTCTTCTGTAGGGATGATAAATGTTCCCAAGAATTGAGAGCTGAAATCATCTTATTGCCATGAGTGCAACTGATCAAGCAGATGGCATTGTATTGCCAAACCATATTATTCATTTGGAGGATGAACCTAGCCATCTTCTTGTCCTGGTTCATGGCATCTTGGCGAGGTAAGCTGCAAATTTCCTTTTCTTTGGCACTGGAAATTGATTTTTAATGTTTTTTTTGGATTTAGCTGTGAAAATACGGATGATATAGTTTTCCCTTTCATTTTCCATGTTCTTGAACAATTTCCAAAAGTATACCAGATATTATGGTGATTGCTTGTTTTAATCAGTTTTTCTCATCCCCTTTTAATGTCCAAATTCTGTCTCATGCCCTCATTTGACTTTTCAAGCACTATTTCATCATGGGACAACTAAATGGAAAACATGAATTAATTTTGGGACCAATGGATGATCATGTCATGACACTAAAAGGTGTTTTTTTTCTCCATTTTCTTGGTTGATCTCAATAGCTTTAGCATGGCTATTAGCTTATGGTCTGTTAACTAACAAATCAATAAGAATAGTGATGAACTATTTTCCATCCATTTCTTTTACTGAGTTCTTGGTGTGATACAGCACTAGTGACTGGACTTATGCACAAGCAGAACTGAAGAGACGGCTGGGAAAAAAGTCTCTGATTTATGGTATTTTTTTAAGTATAAAGAAAATGGAATGCAATGAATCTAAGATTTTTTCATATTTCTGATCACCTCTACTCTTTATTCATGGTTTCCAATTTCCTGAATTCTTTAGATTAGAATAATCACAAGTTTTTCATACTAATACAGCATTATGTTCTTTTCTTTGCAGCAAGTTCATGCAATGTTTATATCAAAACATTTGCTGGGATTGATGGAGCTGGAAAACGACTTGCAGATGAAGTGAGTGTGATGGTATATGTACGTTTCTTGGAATGGTTGCGACATCTAAATCTTCTTTGATACAAACAGGTAATACTTGTTGTGAAAAGGACAGAGAGCCTAAAGAAGATTTCTTTTATTGCACATTCACTTGGTGGGTTGATTGCAAGATATGCAGTTGCTGTTCTTTTTACATCAAACGTATCGAACACTGCAAATACAAATTCGGGTTGCTCTTCAAATAAAGGGTTGATTGCTGGGCTAGAACCAATTAATTTCATCACCTTGGCTACCCCTCATCTTGGAGTAAGAGGCAACAAGAAGGTTTCTTCTCAAATAAAAACATATTGTCTCTGTTTCCGTAACATAAAGACATAATATCTCTAGCATTTTCCAAGATCCAAACGCATCCATAAATTTTTGAGATTATTGCAGTAGTGAGATAGATAACAAAGAAAGGGTTGTTGATGTGCAGAAAATTGGTTTTGTTTTGTGGTTTAGTTTCCCATTCTCTTGGGAGTTCCCATCTTAGAAAAACTTGCTGCACCAATGGCTGCATTGTTAACTGGGAAAACTGGTAGGCAGCTCTTCCTCACAGACGGGAAACCAAATGTGCCTCCGCTCCTCTTAAGAATGGCATCAGATTGTGAAGAAAGGAAATTTATGTAAGATCAAAACAAAAACAAATGCATTTAAGGTTTATTAATGCTTATATGAAATATAGATAAAGCTTCTAATGTTTTGCCATTATCATCTTACATTTGTATTGCAAGATCTTCACTTGGTGCTTTCAAATCTCGCTCCGTCTATGCAAATGTTTCTTATGATTGTATCCGACACGTTGTCTCGACACTTGAAGAAACTTATGAGTATTGTAACATACTCCCGCCGTTAGGATTTGATTGTCCACTTTTTCTCTTAGGGCATCCGGAATTAGTTAGTTGTCTATTGGCCATATTTAGTAAAATATGCCTAAAGACAATATTAACATTGTTCTCATCAAATGACAAATGAAGGACACAAAATAGGTTCAATTAGTTTTCATTTCCTTGACATAGTCTAGATCTGGTTGGATGGCGTACGTCCTCTATAAGAAGGGACTCGGAGCTTCCCAAGGTAAATTCTTTTTTCTAGTAAGAGCCTGTTTAGCAACGGCGGGTTTGTGCTTTCATGTCAATAATTGATTGTGAGGTTTTGAGGATGTTTCAGCCACCCAAACAATCTTTGGATGGGTACAAGCATGTTGTAAATGTTGAATACTGTCCTCCAATTTCGTCGGGTGCTCCTCGTTTCCCTCCCGAAGCAGCCAAAGCAAAGGAAGCCGCTCAAAATGAACATAATACTACATTACAATACCATGAAATCATGGAAGGTATAGTATAGGGTACTAGCAATTAAAGACACATTTTGAATCCTTCTATGTTGGTTTTTGTATGTTTATATTTGGGTGGTGTAGAATTGTCTTGATATTGGGAAGCTGTTGGCTTGGTTTTGAAACAGAGGAAATGATAAGGGGATTGCAACAAATAGGGTGGGTGAAGGTAGATGTTAGCTTCCACTCAGCTTTATGGCCCTTCTTTGCTCATAACAACATACATGTATGCAACAAATATCATATGAGTTTTTATATATGGAGGATATCAGAACTCACATCTCTTGCATTCAGTAAATGGGTTTTTTTTGTTGTTTGTTGTGGGGCAATTCAACAGGTGAAGAATGAATGGTTCCATAATGCTGGAGCTGGAGTCATTTCTCATGTGGCAGACAGCATCAAGCAACAAGAGAAGCTATGCGGATTGAACCCCGCTTTTGTTGTTTCTAGCTTGTAGGCTGGTTTTATATTTATTTATTAATCTCGGTACTAAATCAAACATAAAATATTTTCATGGGACCAAATAAAAAAAATATACTCGTATCACAAGAGTAGATAGAACTTTGAAAGCAACAGGGTGGCTGCCATGGGTTGAAATGTCGCAATCACCAAACGTAACGCAACTCTACCGAACCCATGTGACTAGCGCGACCGAAAACATCTTTTTTCAAAGTCGGATATTCCTTTGATTTCAGAGCATTCTCAACGTACGGTGAGACAAAAAATATCTTCACCAATGTTCTTCTATATTTTTCTTTTTTGGAGCATGCTACATGTATCTCAAAATTTGTACCTCATTCTACACTAAAAGTATGCACCAAACATTTTGATGGTTAACAGTGACACAAAATGTTTGTGCATTAACAAAAATTTACACTGACACAAAGTGTTGGTGCGTTAACAAAAATTAGCATTACACCAACACGAAATATTGGTGCATCCCTGCGATGTACAAAATGAGATACAAATTTTTGGGATACAAATAGCTTTATCCTTTTTTTCTACACCTTAATTTCGTCAATACTTCCCAAAGGCGAGAAATTTTGTCTCTCCATATTTTGTTGTGAAAATTTTCCTTTTCCTCACCGATCGTATTAAAAAAGACGAGAGCCAAATAGGAGAGATTTCTTTAACTTTTATTTGTTTGTGTGTTTTCATTTATTATTTGATAAAATAAAGTATTATGGTCACTTCTTGTTTTGTAGAACTTTTGATGTAGTTTCTTAACATGTAATTTTTAATTCTTATTGATATACCAATTGTAAATAAAATGATTCCAAAAATTGTGGAATTTCACCTCGTAATTCCCATTTTGTAATCAAAATAGGGCAAAGGGAGTATCATTTATTACGTACTCCCTTCGTCCCACAAACTCCTCCTTTTTTTATTTGTTCCAAAAAATCATTATCATTTCTATTAAAAAACTATTAACTCTAGAAATTCTTACTCTACCTATCACATCATACTTTTTTATTAGTAATTTACCCTTAACATCCAACTTTTAACCATCATATCAACGGTATTTTTGAAAAATCAATATAAAAATATACTTACCTTAATTTTTCTAAAAGTCAAAATGGGAATAACTTTAAGGGACAGAGGAAGTATAATTTTGACAAATGTTATTTACAAATTGTTATATTCAAAATTTAGTATAAAAACTAAATTGTAAACGTTATGTATTTAAAAAGTTGCATTAAAATATTTTTATAATAAGAAATGATATGATTATATTATTGTATGCCTCACAAATCCAAAAAACATTATCTAAAATAAGAGTAAAACATAGTTCTTATTTCAAAAATATGAAAGACATGTTTTTTTCTCAAAATAGAAGTTTGTACTATGACAATGTGACACTATATATTTCTGTTCAGGTTCAATGAAGAGTCATCGTGACTCAAGGTGGAGTTTGCATTTGTTGGTGTTTTAGCTTGAGTTATCTTTCCCCATGCGTGAGGGAAATCTGTTTTGGTGTGTCACGACACTTCTGAACTCAAGTGAAACAATTTGTTCTTATTTTTTTTAGTGACATTTGTGTCCTTGGTTGGAATTCTGGTACCTACGGTTAATCAAGTCACTTCATGAAGGAAATCTTGTACATCTTCATGAAGTGACTTGATTAACCGTAGGTACCAGAATTCCAACCAAGGACACAAATGTCACTAAAAAAAATAAGAGAATATTTGGTAGAATATTTGGTAGAATATTTGGAGATATTTGTGTTTATATTGTTTTGGTAGTTTTTCTTGTATAGGGATTCTTTCCTTTTCCTTTTCCTTTACTTATTAGGAGTCTCAACTTGTGAGATCCTATATATATGTCTTCATTGTAAATTGTAAAGACAAGAGAGAAATACAGAGAATTTCCTCCCAAACAATTCTTTCATGGTATCAGAGCCAAAACCCTAGAGATTTTCATCGACTACTGTTCACGATCGCCCGGCATGGCGTCCATCGATCGTTGCTCAGTTTCAGTCGTTTGTTGTTGTTGCCGGACAACGGAACAGTCGACCGTTGCTCTTGAACGGTCGAGCACGTCGACCGTCTCGTCGGCAGATTGTGTGATAGATGCTGTTGTTGATTCTTCCGCCACCGCCGTACGCCACTCTGCTACCGCCATGGCCGATGAACAACCAAGGAAGATGTTTTTCTCCCTATCATCGTGTGTTTCTAGTATGAAGCTTTCAGGTATTCCTGTGTCACCGCGTTGGATTATAGATACTGGGGCATCAAATCATATGACTGGTGATATTTCGTTATTGCATGACGTCGTGGGAATATCACCATGTGAGATTGGTTTGCCCAATGGGAAAAGAATTATTTCTGTACAATCTGGGAAGATTAAATTAACAGAAACATTACTTCTGCACGATGTCCTATATGTTCCCACTTTGAGTTGCCATTTAATCTCTGTGTCACAATNATGTTTTTCTCCCTATCATCGTGTGTTTCTAGTATGAAGCTTTCAGGTATTCCTGTGTCACCGCGTTGGATTATAGATACTGGGGCATCAAATCATATGACTGGTGATATTTCGTTATTGCATGACGTCGTGGGAATATCACCATGTGAGATTGGTTTGCCCAATGGGAAAAGAATTATTTCTGTACAATCTGGGAAGATTAAATTAACAGAAACATTACTTCTGCACGATGTCCTATATGTTCCACTTTGAGTTGCCATTTAATCTCTGTGTCACAATTGACAAGGGATTCGAACTGTGAGGCACGTTTTGCCAACGATAAGTGTATACTACAGGATCTGTGTTTAAAGACAGAAATTGGTATGGGTGAGCAGGAAGGAGGACTTTATTACTTCAAGGAGCCAGAAAAGAAGATGGTGTGCAGTGCGAAGAAGGAGAGTAAGTTTGATCTTTGGCACAAACGACTTGGACATCCTTCCGCTCATGTTTTGTCTCTTGTTCCTGGAGTTGGAACAAGTAAGAGTAGTCATAGCTGTTGTGACATTTGTTTGCGTGCTAAACAGACTCGTGGGAGTTTTCCTATAAGTTTTTATCAATCTGTTGATAAATTTGATATGATACACTGTGATTTATGGGGACCATATAGGACTCCAAGTTTTGATGGCTCTACAATGTTTTTGACCATTGTGGATGATTTTTCAAGAGGTGTTTGGGTACATTTGCTTGATTCCAAACGTATGGTTAGCACTGTTTTTAAACAATTCTGTGCTATGGTAGAACGACAATTTGAGAAGAAAATAAAGTGTGTTCGCAGTGATAATGGCACAGAATTTGAATGTCTAAACGAATATTTCCGAGAGCAAGGAATTATTCATAAACGTCTTGTGTGTCTACTCCACAACAGAATGGGAGAGTAGAACGCAAGCACCGACACATTTTGAATGTGGGTCAGGCTTTGAGGTTTCAGGCTGGTCTTCCGATTGAGTTCTGAGGAGAGTGTATACAGACCGCCGCACATCTGATCAATCGCACACCTTCATCTTTGCTAGGGGGGGGTCACACCATACGAGAAGATCTATGAAAAGCCACCCTCTTTGGCTCATATTCGTGTTTTTGGATGCAGATGTTATGCTCATAGCTTAAAGAGGAATGGAGATAAATTCGCACCAAGAAGCAATCCTGGAATATTTGTTGGATATCCGCAAGGGGAGAAGGGATGGCGTATTTACTACCCGAACACTGGGGAAATTAAGGTGTCTCGGGATGTTGTGTTCTGTGAAGATATTTTCCCTTTCTTGACTCCTACAGGTGCATCTATTGATACAAGAAGTACAAATGAGGTTAGCTCTTATGATGAAGATGAAGAAATGCGGACGGAAGAGCAGATGGACCGTTCCACGAGGGACGGTGGACCAGAGGAAAGTGGTGGAGCAGACAGGCTACAGACGGTCGACCTGATGGACCGTTTAGATGTCCACGGTCGACCGTCCGAGAGGCAGAATGACGGGTTCCTGGGAGATGAACAAACGGTCGACTTGGTGGACCGTTCTGATATCCACAGTCGGCCGTCCGCGAGGCAGAATGACGTTTCTTTGGGAGATGATCAAACGGTCGACCGTGAAGTGAAAGACGGTCGACCGTCTCCGAGGCAGAAAGTTAGCGATCTGGAACAGCTTCAGACGGTCGACCTCGTGGAGTACTAGGGACGTAAATGAATCGAATATTTTTTGTTCGATTCGTGATTCGTATTCGTTTAAGGTGATTCGTATTCGATTTTTTCGAATCTGAATAAATATTCGAATCCTTATCGAATACGAATATGAATCAAGGGTATTCGATTCGTGAGTTTGACAAATATATTCGGAATATAAATCTAATTATACAAATTATATATATATATATATATATACATATATATATATACATATAAATATACATATATATATATATATATATATATCAAATGGTTATAAAATATTTTAAAATCTAAATGAACAGAATAATTTTAAACGAACCGAATATATTTAAACAAATCGAATATTTAAACGAATCGAATATGTTTAATATATTAAACGAACCGAATACGAATCTTAAAAAATATTCGAACCGAATTCGAATTCGAATTCGAATATCACTCCATCTTAACGAATATGAATATTTTTCATGAATATTCGATTCGATTCGGTTCGTTTACAACCCTACCGTGGACCGTTCCACGGACGGCGGTCGACCGTTCTCTTCCCAGCAGGCGGTGGAGAACTCGGGACGTGGTCAACGTGAGAAACGTCCAAATGTACGCCTTGCCGATTATGTTACCCATGTAGCTGGTTCACATGTCGGTGAAAAATGCAAATATCCTCTTGCCTCGTATGTCACACACGAGAAGTTCTCTGACAGACACAAGTGTTTTCTCATTGCACTTGATGCTGGAGTGGAGCCCACAAGTTTCAAAAAGGCATTCCAGGATGAACGATGGAGGAAGGCTATGAGAGAGGAGATTGATGCACTGGAGGCTAATGGGACGTGGTCTCTTGTCTCTCCTCCACGCCATAAAAAGCCCCTTGGTTGCAAATGGGTATATAAGATCAAGCGCAAGTCCGATGGAAGTGTGGAGAGATTTAAGGCCAGACTTGTTGTACTTGGCAATCATCAGGTTGAAGGACTTGACTACAAAGAAACATTTGCTCCTGTAGTCAAGTTGACCACTGTGAGAATGCTTTTAGCAATTGCAGCAGTTAAGGGGTGGGAATTGCATCAGATGGATGTTCACAATGCATTTCTACACGGAGATCTTTAGGATGAGGTGTATATGAGATTGCCACCTAGTTTATCGAATTCGTCTAATGTGGTGTGTAAACTCAAAAAATCTATGTATGGCTTAAAGCAAGCTCCAAGGTGTTGGTTTGCCAAGTTGTCTGGAGCCTTAAAACGCTATGGGTTTGTTCAATCTGTTGCTGATTACTCCTTATTTTCTTTTGTTGGAAAGAAAGGAGTCATACATGTTTTGGTTTATGTTGACGATTTGATTATTGCTGGAGATAATACAGAGATGGTAAGCAAGTTCAAAGCCTATCTCGGAGATTGTTTTCATATGAAGGACTTGGGAACACTGAAATACTTTCTTGGCATTGAGGTGGCGAGGAGCACGTCTGGGATTTTTCTCTGCCAACGAAAGTATGCCTTAGATATCATCACTGAGGCGGGGTTGTTAGGTGCCAGGCCGTTGGGTGCCCCGATGGANAATCTCTGTATGGCTTAAAGCAAGCTCCAAGGTGTTGGTTTGCCAAGTTGTCTGGAGCCTTAAAACGCTATGGGTTTGTTCAATCTGTTGCTGATTACTCCTTATTTTCTTTTGTTGGAAAGAAAGGAGTCATACATGTTTTGGTTTATGTTGACGATTTGATTATTGCTGGAGATAATACAGAGATGGTAAGCAAGTTCAAAGCCTATCTCGGAGATTGTTTTCATATGAAGGACTTGGGAACACTGAAATACTTTCTTGGCATTGAGGTGGCGAGGAGCACGTCTGGGATTTTTCTCTGCCAATGAAAGTATGCCTTAGATATCATCACTGAGGCGGGGTTGTTAGGTGCCAGGCCGTTGGGTGCCCGATGGAACCAAATCATCACTTGGCTCATTCCCAAGCCCCGGTCCTTGCAGATCCAGAACCATATCGACGGTTGGTAGGAAGGTTGGTCTATCTCTCTGTCACACGACCAGAACCTTCTTACGCCGTCCACACTTTAGCACAGTTTTTGAAGGAACCAAGGGAGGATCAGTGGTCTGCGGCCCTTAGAGTCGTTCGTTATTTGAAAGGATGTCCAGGTTAGGGCATATTTTTGTCAGCAGAGAGTAGCCTTCAACTCATAGGATGGTGTGATTCGGACTGGGCAGCATGTCCTTTGACGAGGCGGTCATTGACAGGGTGGTTTGTGCAGCTTGGAGACTCGCCTGTCTCATGGAAAACAAAGAAGTAGTCGACAGTGGCTCGCTCGTCTGCTGAAGCAGAGTATAGAGCTTTGGATGTCCTTACATGTGAGTTGAAGTGGTTGAAGAATGTTGTGCGGTGTTTAGGGGTTGAGCATAAGGACCCCATGACGGTCCGGTGTGACAGCACGGCAGCACTTCACATTGCTGCTAATCCGGTTTTCCACGAACGCACGAAGCACATTGAGATAGATTGTCACTTCGTTCGTGATGAGCTCTTGCGAGGAGAGATTCGTACACTTCATGTGCCTACTACGCATCAGCTTGCAGACATTCATACAAAGGCACTCGGAAAGTCACGTTTGGAGTTTCTTCTACCCAAGTTGGGCATTTCGTTACTACATGCTCGAACTTGAGGAGGGGTGTTAAAGGAAAGAGAATATTTGGTAGAATATTTGGAGATATTTGTGTATATATTGTTTTGGTAGTTTTTCTTGTATAGGGATTCTTTCCTTTTCCTTTTCCTTTACTTATTAGGAGTCTCAACTTGTGAGATCCTATATATATGTCCTCATTGTAAATTGTAAAGACAAGAGAGAAATACAGAGAATTTCCTCCCAAACAATTCTTTCATGTCTTGAATCTATATTCTAGACTTATCAAGATTACGACTATGAATAAGATTAGGATTATCTTTCCTATTCTCATCTTTATATATGTAGTAGGATCAGGATTACCCATATCCCCTTCCCTATATATATAGCTTGTATTTGTACTCCTCAATTCATGGTAGAGAAAATCTATAATCTAGTGAGAAAGTACTGATCAATAAATTTTTTTCTCTTCCGTCCGTGGAGGTTACTAACAGGTTGTTAGTAAACTACGTTAAATGTCTGTCTTTTTCGTGATTGTTGATTGTTCATGTTCATACTTTCTCGCATTTGTCATAACAGACGTATATATATAAGTAGTTTCCCAAATTTTTTTTCTCTAGTGGAAGACCAAGTGGGGATAATGATATTATTGAAAAGTGAACTATACACCACCCATTTGAATCTCTAGCTAGCTACTACTACTACGTCTCCCCCGAGAAATTAAAGATGTTCTCAAGATTAAAAAAATTCCATACATCAAATAATTGGTTCTTTGAACATTATTACTACGAGTTATAGTGTCCTTTTGTCTGGTTATATACAGCCAAAGATTATTGGATGATTCCATATAGCAACAAGAGAAAAACTACAAAGGCTGGGCAGTGGGATGTTTCCTTTGTCGTGTCACCAGTCTTATTTCTCCCCCACGGACTAATGCAATTGTCCCATAATCTTTATTTCAATTTTTTTTATAAAAAAATGAGAACAGAAAATATTGAAACAAATTGTTACGTTATAATTAGCGTATACCATATTTGTCTCCATTGGAGTACTACGTACCCTTTATCATTAGTGTTGTACAACTAAATTTTAACTACTAACAAAAATTAACGTCATTTGAAAATATCATTAGTGTTTAAAAAATTTCTCATTTTATTCCGCATTCAGACATCTCCAAAAAAAATTCTCGTTCCTTTTGACCATAATTAATGTTCTTGAATTGACGTTGTTGATCAAATCTTTAATACTCCGTATATAAAAGATATAAATGAGCAATTAAATCATGTGTACTAATAATCATGTAAACATATTTAGAGATGAGGATGTGATTCTGATACAGATCAAGTTCCCGTTTAGGGTGTATTCATTAGCGGATCTAGCTTAATTATATGGGGGGCAATTGACCCCTGTCAATTGGCATGGCTAGCATAGAAAAGACAAAAAAAATTGCTCGGCTAAATAGAGTGCCCCGGGTCAGAAAATGAAGAGCCCCCAGTCCATTTTTGAAATGTGAAATTTGCACTGAATAAGACTACAATATAAATCATTTCTCAATGTAGGACTTAAACTTTTTTATTCCCTAAATATGACTTAATATTGACCAATGAGAAGAATAATGTCCAATTGATGCTAGATATTTAGTTGAATAATGACTAATAGATAATGGCCAATATATGGTCCTACATTGGGAAATAAAAATAAATGATCCTATATTGAGAAAAGTAATTATGTTTTAGTCTTATTTAGATAAAACCAACTCAACAAAAAAGATAAATACTATAGGTGAAGATTTTGAGGTGCGCATCACACGAGTAATTACATATAGTATTTCTTTTTTTTGAAAATCTAGTTATCAATTTTTCATACGGGGAGATTTATTGGGTATTCATTTATATGTGATATGTTTTTTTTATTATCCAAAGTTGTACTTGGTATTTGCGATAATTATTTTTTCTATTTTAGTTTAATACAGTATCAAATGAGATCATCATTTAATTGATTGTAGCTGGTTATTTAATATTTGTCCAAAAAGATACGAAGTACTACCCCGTCCTAGTGTATTTGTCCAGTTTAACTATTTCGAGTCAAACTCGACAAACTTTGGACTCTAATTACTTTCAATTTATATTGCATATTAGCATAATGAAATACAATTTTGAAAATTCTCAATACGATAAATCCAATAAAGTCATTTTTATGTTAAAATACATTACGGTTTTTATTTAATTGAAGATCAAAGTTTATCCAGTTTGACTCGAAAAAGTCAAACTGGACAGATACACTGGGACGGAGAAGCTATACATTGTTGAAAAAAATTGTTACATGTAAAGTACAATTGAGAAAATGTAGATTTTCAAAACATTATAATTGAACTAAGATATAAATTGATGTATTCTCTAATACTCCCTCCGTCCCAAAAAGTTTGTTAC